TCTCCTTTCCTGATATGTCATGAAATGTGGCCCTCTCTTCGTCCAACTTCTCCATCCTGGTTTTAAGTGCTTTAGCCTCACGTCGGTTCCGTGTTAAAGCCAATAGTTCGTTGTCTGTATATTTGCGAGTCATCTTTTTTTCTCTAGAATGTAGTTTTCGTTGACTTGATATCGACGTTCACCAGTAAAACCATTTCACATAAAACATTTCAGCTGTTATTTTGTACTGCATCAGTAGTTATCTGTAAGTCCGGCTTACGCTGTGTTCCTTTTATAGCTTTTGTATAAGACCACCTGCACATACTCAAAAACTCTGTGATAATAATAAAAAAAAATGATGTCCACACACTACCAGGTCCACATTTGATTAAACACCAGTGTTGTTTTCCTGTTAAAACCTTATCTCCTCTGCATGTCGCTCTTAAGTCGAGATAATCCTAGTAACTCAACGTATAAGAGCCTGGGTATCTCACTTCAAACATGAAACCCTACAGTTACTCGGGCGGTATGTCATATCACAGTACGACGGTGCAGAAGCATGTTAAACACCCCGACTTTCACTGATTTCGAGTTCAAGATGTCACATGTATATATCCAATCTTACTGATCCACGATCCCAGCTATACACTCCTCATATTTTTCCAAATATCGATTTTAAAACTTATATAGGTAGTGATATTTAAATCTTAAGGGAAAATCGATTCAATATAAGAGTGTTATCATTTAGTCTTCGATTGGTCAATGTGTACAGTATATATATGTGTTACACTCCCAGACCACAGCTGACCTGTTCATTACCTATATACCCAGGCGTGTCATTGGCCAATACATGTCCGTCTAATATCAATATCATGAGAAAGACAGCGATACAAAGTGTGAAACGTGTTATGAATTCTTTGCGAAATCATTTTGTTTACCTGGTAGAAATCTTTAAATGCTTGATTGAAAAAATGTTTTTACTTCATTTGATAACAATTTAAGGATACAAAAGACGTTTTACCCTCGCGTCTTTTGTTAAGTATCGTGTTGTTTGCGTATCGCCTAAACTATTGTTTGTTTCAGCATTGATCTAGGGCATATAACTTCATGGACTTCAGCGTCGAAAAGAATAATATTTGAATTTTAAGAAAAACTTGTTGATATAATACCTCTTTAATTATCAGAACTGTACTTGGTCTGAATTTGGTTTGGTCTCACGGTTAGCCTTATTGGTTTTACAAACCAAAAATGTGTCAATTGGCTTGGTTTTATAATTTTTCGTGTTTACTATTTTCCAAACAAAACAGGAAGTACGTTTGAATTCATGAATACTTGACAACATAAATGATTAGTTTTCGCTTAATTATTTATCACTTAACATTTTTCATTGTCTACATAGTGTATTTACCTGTTTCTCAGTTATAATGTATATATATATCGGCAGTAATTGTCCAACCATACGCTACGCTCTGTTCATAACAAAAATCAGTCTAATACAAAATAACATTAATGATAACATGTAAACTATTAACTGACAAACTATGTTAAGATATCAAGGTATATTCTGAAACGTGTTAGTAACCTTATGCATAAACCAAATATACACAAGTGTGATTTTTTTTCTAACACGAGTTTGAACACAATCTGAGAAAGAAAATGAAATAGCATATAAAACTGTTAGGCTTAAAGGTGATAAATGATCATATTAGAAATATCATATACACTTTATAATGATTAAGCGAGCGTGAAAACACTTTTACGAAGAATGAGGGCGGATTATGAGTTTGCTATCTCTGTATAAGACCCCCTCGTTCTCACGACCCTGGACACCGATCAATATATTGCATTAACTCCTCTAATTTATCACAGACATCATGCTAGCATATCTATTGGTAAAGATATCATATGCCCAAGTTCCCCATGCATTATTCGCGTTAACCAAATGTAGTGGTCCTTGTTCTGACATCAAAAAGAATGGCGTGAGAGTGGAAATTTTTAATATTGAAGAAAGTTATCAGTGAAAACTCCATTTAATATATGTTCTGTTCAAGGAGTATATCTTATAGGTAAATCGACATGTATAGTTATCTAGGTGTCAAGTGTTACTGATTTTACACTCGATATTAAATGTTTATCAGCCACTTATACAGGTAGGGGCCTACAGGGAAACATATTAAAATATATCTAAAAAGTTTAACTCATGTAATGTTTAATCCTTATGATATCAACAAAATTTTATCTACAAATTATTTATGTATCAAAGAATGTGAAAAAAATACGAAATGATTTTGTTGGTAATATTGTCTTATTAGTTAATAAAGTTCAAGAATTTACCTCTCTCTCACGTCGTTTAAGGGGGAGGTAAATCGGGAGTTAATTTTATCAATCCCTAGGATTATCGTGGAGAGGCGGAGATGGCGTTTCATTGTCGGAAGTAAAGGACTATCCATGAGATTACATATAAACCCATCTAATGATATAGGCAACCGACACTGGACAAAATTAAAACTTTTATTCTCACGGGGTTTCGTCCTTATCACTGTTGTCATAATATAAGGCTGTTTTGAGTTTGGACCTTCAAAGTTATGATGATATTCATTGGATAAATTTTTATTTACATTCAGACACTCGCTGATACATGCTGGTTAATTTTCTGTCATTTACGGCGCTCCCGCTTGATATGTCCCGCAAATTAAAATATGCTTCTGAAAATTGAAAAATTGCTTAATTGATATACCTATGTATAGTAACTGGGAGATTGTGATGACGAAATGCCATATCATATCCTTATGCCAGTTTTTGAAAAATTACATCAAATCACAAACAACCTGTTTTAATTGATATCTCTGTTATTCATTTTGATTTATAGGCATTTCAACGAGGTTTCGTTTTTAATATAATGCTGTAGCAAAATGTTTCCCAGTTTTGGAAGGAAACCCGTCCCTAAACTAAGTTGTTTCATTTTAAAATCTCGTTTACAAGACAAGCCGTGTCTCCTTAATCCGAAAATCGTGAATTCTCGAATTTATTTTGGGAACCAAAGTTTCCGTGTTGACATTGTATAACAAAGTACAAATCCATAAGTTGCAATTCACGATTCAATAAACACCGTTTTACTGACTATGAACACATAAAAACGTCTTTAATAAAAGACACATTGTCAAGGGTCATCCACTTCAAATACCAACATAATACATCTACAATCTGTTAAAAAATCCAAGGCACATTCAACAAACAGATAGAAAGCCTGTCGTGTTACTGAACATTTGTTAAGTTTTGAACAAACATATCTTTTATTTGTAGTGTAATTCACATGGATTTTCACATGCACACTTGTCGAAACCGGACCCCACTCTACAAAAGTCTCCATGTCGATAATACTGGAGTATTTGAAAAGGGAAACATGATTGTGGTATCATTTGGTATTATTTCGACAAGGACCTTAGTCACATCTGAAATACTTTAGCATATCTTCTAATTGAATTTGCAGATATAAAAGAGAGTTTCGTTCGTAACATATCTAAAACGATTAACAATGACCCAGATTTATTTACAAAATTGTCTTCCTAACTTTTGAGATCACACGTGATTAGTTTTTTGCGTATTATAAGACCAAAACAGTTTTTACGTGTTAGAATAAAGATATTTAATGTTTTATAAGCCAGTGAATGAAGACAAGTAACCAATGTACAAATAGCAATATTGGTCATTGTATGTTTAATAGTCAAAACGAGATGTCCAGATGTTAAGTATGTAAGAATAAATGTTCAAGCAATGAAAAAAGGAAACGACTATGCCAATTCCTGAATTTTATCACCAATTTCCGAAATTGTATCGTTGTAGTTGTTAATGATGCTGTAACCTACTTCGATCTCCACTTTATCTACCAAATATATCGAAATACCATTCTCTGGGGACAGCTGACAAATCTTGCTGAGGATCAATGGTGCAGATGCTTTAAAGTTCGATTTCGACAGACACTTTCACTTATACGCTGACTATATTATGATTCGGAACTATGTTTTTTGCTATATGTACCTGGTGATGAATGTGTGTACACCTGTACGATAACAGGAACAATCACTTGAATGAAATGAATTGCGAAACCATGCTAGCAACGTATGCGATTTACACGAGGTTCGCTCAATCCATAAAAAACTCTTGACTCTAAACAGCTGCACAGAACCTATTTCAATTAGTTTCAAACACCCTCTCTGACATGATATACATATTGTTAAAATTCACATAATTATTATGTTAGGTGTTAATAAATAAGGTATCTAAATTCATTTTCTGTATAAGATAACTGACTTAATTAATCATATGTTATTTAATTAATTAGATATGTTATTTACTAATATTTACTTTTATTTCTGATAAATTAATACGATTTCTGATGGGTTTTTTTTATGTTATTTGATAAATTAGATATCGCATTTAGTTTACATATTTGATGAGCGTAAGTTTGCCTGTTGGTTCCGTTGTTGTATACCTTGTTCTCGTTTGAGCACGTGACATTACTTACTTGGATTGACCAAGGCTTACATGGTTAGTGTCGTCGATGAAGCAGAAGACGCTTGTTTTCCGGAACATCTGGTTTTATTCTCCGTGCATGTTTTCAGGAGTCTCCGTGTAAATCTTTCTTTTGTTCAGGTTTATTGAATTTGAGTTTGAATTATGAATATATTGCCATATTGGTATTTGTTTTGGTCAAGTACTTAACCAACATCACTCCTTGTATGAATGACAATTAGGTTTGTCACACTTGCTCAGGTGTGGCATATTGTGAAAAATCTAAACCAGTAATATTCATGAAATATCTCTTCCAAATCACGAAGTGGAATCAACCTGATGTAATGTCCCAAAATATACAATATGCTGAATTACAAAATGTTCTAATAGGAAGACACGTATGTTGTAGATATATGGGATCGTTTATTTGATAAGATAAAGGTCACCACGTTCTTGATAAGACATTGCAAGTACATTGTACGTCCCCACAATCATTGTCAGACACCAAGATGGCGAACACACTCGTTTTTGCCGTGGGCATTGCCCTCTTTGCACAGGTTGGTAAAAAATCATTCTCACTTAATCTTCGTGTCAAATTCCTGAAATTCATGTTATAACGCTATCTCACTTGAAGGTTTGATATAACGTATTTCAACAATCAAATACCATTTTACTGGCTGAATCACCAACTTTGTAGACCAACATTAATATCTAAGTCAATTATAGATTCAATGTGTGTGTCTCATACAAATATTACGGAAAGATAGGACTTTAACAGTTGTCGGAATGGCATTTTTTCCATGACTTCACAGATGTCGCTAGGTCTTGATTTTGCCGGAGACATTGGGTTTGGTGGTGACCTCGGTGGCTCTTCGACACATCTTGATGGAGTTATACATGGAGACACTTTGGTCGTAGACAACTGTGACCCCAACGACCCCAATTCTTGTGGGCATGGCCAGTGCTGCGTGAAAGAGGTAACCCAGGGTCATATCACAGAAATCAGAAACCGTTTTCTTATATCTAAAATTGAAACTAATTGAGTTGTTTTCGTTGACTTTTTAAGAGGGCATTCGTTTAATAACTTTGGGCATAAGTTCTCAATTTGAAAGGAGATAATCATATTGTCCATGCATATTTCCATTTTTCTTTTTCTCGTACTTGGGACAGGGTATGATGTACATTCCCGAAGCCCCGGGTCCAAAGCCTGCTTATCGACTCAGCTGTAAGCCATTGGCTACGGAGGGTCGTTTTTGTATGGCCTCCAAAACCACAGAGATGTGTCCGTGTTCTGCAGGCCTCACCTGTAAAACCACTCTTGGTTCATTTGGTCACTGTCATCAGTAAAATAGAAAAAAGGCCATTTGACGTATGAACTTTGTTTTAATAAAGTTATATGAATATTATGGAAATTTGCTCTTTTTATTTATGAATAATTGTTCGGTGTATTTTGATTTATTCTCCAAGAAAGTACATATAACACATATATATTGCTTACATTTCTCAAATCTTAATGAATCATCCATTATAAACAGTTATAAGAATAATACCATAGTGCAATAATTAATACAATGTGCATGTTAATGTTAATGTGGGTTCTAACTTCATTAATATATAAATGACATATTCATTTAAAAGTCTCAAACTCACTATCTATGACACTACGCCGATATATGTATAAAGTCTTCAATGATAAGACTGCGATGACTCCCCTACAAGAGGAAGCCGCAGTGATGATTTTGCTCGACATTTTAGTCACGAACAAGTAACAATTTGTCAGTTTGATATAGAAAACAAATTATCTTGTCATGCCGAGAATATCCTGTTGGTAGGATGTAGGAATAAAATCTGGACCCAGTTTCATGAATCTTCCTTACTTTAGAGAATGTTCCGTAACTTAAAACTGCCCATAGAAAAGCATTGCATATGTTAATCATTTAATCTTAAGTTTTTTCTTAACTTACATGATGTTTTTTTCTATGGAAGTTAAGATATCTTTAAGCTTGGGAAGATTCCTGAAACTGGGGCTTGTTGTTTCTATGGTTTGTTCCTAAGAGGCAAACAAACTTGAGATCCTATTCCTTTCTCTTTCAAAAGACCATTTTTCTACCTATGTCTCTTTCAATACTACCTCACTTTTGGCCTTTAAGATGGCGTTCGCCAATATGAGGAAAACTATACGCTCTGTTACCACTCCACGGCATATGATGTCATTGATTAAAAGTGATAATGTATTCTCTGCTTGTTATTTTCTTATTATTTTCTTATTGTTTTATGCACTATGATCGGTAAGCTGTTTGTACGCACAATACAGGGGGCTGGGATGTCAACGAGGTCAAAGATATTTCAGTGTGATAACACTTTATAAACTCCTCAGTCAGTGGTTTAATCGACTGTGGACATTATCCTCAGATGACGTACATGTACACAGCTGCTACCGATTAAGCTTCAGTGATATATACCAAAAATGAGGTGTATCGTACCCTACAACCACTCTTCAAATTCAACAGGATATTTTCTGACCCAAATGAGTTTTGTGTCATGTTATTCTTGTAAACTATATACACATCCTGCCTCAAACTTTAGCTGTACTTTGTATTCTATATTTGAAATATATTTAAGGCTAACTGGATTACTCTTTGTACTATTTCTCCAAACTGTCACGATTCCAACTGTATAAAACATTTAAATAGATATGATAAGTATCATGATGCATATACGCAATGATATGGAATAACGGAAAATATTGTACCAGAAGCGTGGTGGCTCTACCCAATATTGACATTTTCATACCCAATAGTCAGTAAGTCTCCTTAGCCAAGTGACATGTTTTAGTGATTTGATGACGTATCTGTTCATAAAAATTGCCTGAAGTCAAACTTTTCTCAATGCCTTCGGAATGCCTTTCTCAAATTTTACAACACTTTCGGGTCTGAAAATTTCCTTTCATATTGACTATGTTAGGTTTACTTAAAACAGTGTTCCTTATACTGAGTGGAGTTTGCCATTAAACTTATGTCCCACGGGAGCCTTACATTGTGTCTGTCTGTCCATATGTCCCATGGGAGCCTTACATTGTGTCCGTCTGTCCTTATGTCACATGGAAGCCTTACCTTGTATCTGTCTGTCCATATGTCCCATGGGAATCTTAAACTGTATCTGTCTGTCCATATGCTTCATGGGAACCTTACATTGTTAGGCTATAAGCATAACTCCTCCTACACCGTTTAATGGAGTTCACTGACACTCGGCACATGGTCATGATAGCAAAGAATGCTTCAACAGCACAGATTGATATTCTGACAGCTTGTGATACCACGGACTTACGTGTATATAAGTCCGTGGTGATACTCAGCATGATGTACTTCGTGTTAAGACCATTAACATATCAGACAACAAAAAAATAAACAAAACAAAATAAATATTTTCTTTCCAAGCAGAGACAAGAAACATACTTTTATGATTTATATTTATGCATGAATTATTTTGCACTACATGGTCAGTGTCTTCAAATATAAGATCTGTTATGTCGAGGGTAAACATGGCGAGCCAGCTATTTTGTCTTTCTGTCCCGAGCCAAAACACAGTTTATCTTTGAAGACACTAACCATGTATTATATGTATCCTGCAATATTGACTGAAAATCAGACTATTGAATCTTAAACAGTTTTGTTGTTCAATCTGTGTTTACCTGGCATTGACGTTACGCTGAACTAGGGACGCAGATAACATTACATTTTCCAGTTTTTCCCTCTTCAAATATAGCGACTAAAGAAACGATAACAGCTTCATATTACAGGTATAGACATTGGTGGTCATTCCGACGTTTGCATCTGTGTTTGAAACTCTATAATCATGAGACATACGAAATTAAGAAAGTTATTGAATTATGGGGCTAGTGCACTTCTACAGTCAACGGACTTATCACGAAAATACGCAAATACATACTTCAACGGACTTATCACGAAAATACGCAAATATATACTTCCGCAATAATATGTGTGTGCGTGTGTATATATATATATAAATACCAGGTATTTAATAAAATAATTCCATGATATGCTTAACGGCCGGTTAGCTCAGTCGGTTAGAGCGTCGTGCTAATAACGCGAATGTCGTGGGTTCGACCCCCACACTGGCCATATGGTTATATTTTTTAATTTTTACATTTTTCCTTCAAACATTTATTCTTTTTTTTCCTTAAGATAATTTTACATTGTTTTTGACTCATAAATATGTATAGTGCCAAATTATCAAAAATTATAAAAGTGATTTAGAAAAGGACTTCTTTTATCCGGGCGGAACTTTTATGATAGGGTTATTTTTCAGTTGGGAACCACCCACCAGTCACTGCCGCCATATTGCTGGCGCAGGTGCTCGTCAGATAAATGTCGAGCCTGTTGTTTTCTAAATTGCGAGGAAATCGCCTTTATTTTGGTAAGTTGTTCATAACATGTTTGCATTTTAGTTTTGGATATCATTTTTGACGAAGTGATTACATTTTAATCGAAATCAGTCGTAAGAATTAAACAATACTCTACCGCTTTATTGCGCCGCAATGGACGACGCAGGCAAGTATTTATTGACCGCACGTAGCTGCTGGAGTGATGATTCAAGGTCGACTAACCGATGCACAGTGAATTTCATACCACTAATTTATATACGAAAACTCTCATATAAAATGCCCTGTTTCCAGTAAAAATTGTAAACATATGCAGCGATAATGAGTAGGTGTGGAAAGATAATGCCTTAACTATTTTTAGCCAATAGCCAATATCTTGATTTAACTCCGGTAACAGGAAACAGTAAAATTACATTTTCCTTGAAATTACTGGTCATGTTTGAGATACACATATAAAGCAGGTAGGTTATGAAAAATACATCCTTACATATATATATAGATAGATAGATATATATTAACTACATAACAATTATATTTATAATAGAGAAATAAAAATAGTGTTTATAAATAAAAAGAAATGCTTTTATTTCTGACCAGTGTTTATCATTGTTACCAACTCAGAAAACAGAGATACTGCTAATTCAAACCCAACATTACAACCTTGGAGAAGAAATTCATTTCTGAACACTGTCATGGTAACAAACACCTTACATCTCGGCAAATTCCAACTTGAACGGCTACACAACATGACCACGTGTAAACACAATGAACATTTCACTTCCTGTAAAGCTAGTTTTTGGCGTGTAGACAAAGATACTAGACTGCCCAAATAGTAATATCCTACACAATGCAAAGAGGTTATTCTTAGTAAGATATGAAACCCCAAATTGTCCACTTCAACCTGCTACCTTAGCTAATATACCATATGAATTAAGAAATATCATGCTTGCTATTTAAAGTGCAGCAACCCATTTTTTAAAAGGATACTTGCAGCTTTATTCGCATGGTAATTAATATTTGGATATTTTATTTAGTTGAACAATTAACAATTTTTTTCTTTTTCACAAATATGCAACTGTTGATAATAATTATCTATAATGAAATGATAGTTCAGAAATAGTTCCCTATATTTCAATTTTCTTATTGATATTGGACTGTCAAGACACTGCATGCTGCTCTAAATTGATCATGGTCTTAAATAATAATTTTCTTGATTTCAGATCCGGAGTGACGGCCATCTCTTCAGGTTTTGGCTAAAGCCATAGTCTGGGAAGATGGCGGATATCTACCGGCGTGACATCGAAGCACTGGTGTGTATTCTAAATTTACGAAAAGTCTGATGATTATCCTTGTGTTTGCAGTAGCCACATTTGTTGTGCTCTCCAATGTGACTTATTAGAATATACATGATATTACTATATATTCCAGTGATTCTAGCTGTACAATAAGGCAGCACCCTAAAGAGGAACACTGCAGTATTTTTTTACATCTTTAAAAGGGTTGAGCCAAGCAATAATCAGTAGGAAATCAACATACGAAAATTAAAGAAGAAAGTATTTTTGCTACAGGATTTATTGATAAATCAATACAGTTGAGAATTTTGGCCTGAAACCTACAACATATTTACGTATTTGTTATTTTTATTAACGAAAGAAAATATTTGCAATCAAATTGCAGTGTTAAATCTGTATGGAGTCCAGTGTCCTGTTCTCATAGAATTTTAATTGAACTCATTGAATTTCTGGATTTGCTTAAACTTTACACTGTTGCACCAATTTTTAAAATTTTGAGCACCAAAGTTGAAAAGGGCTCATGAGAATAAACTGTAGATTGATAATGGTTATTACTTTTCAATTTGCTTCATTATACAATTAATGACTTTCTAATTTGTTGTCTGGTTATGCCCAGTAACCTGGAAAATACCAAAGAGATCATTATATGCAGGACCCCTTATTGAAAGTAAGAAGGTGGGCTATCAAATGGCATCCAAAATAGCATGCTGACATATTTACTTATTAAGCTGTAGTAAATACATGGATAGACAAAATTTGACAAATCATGACCAGTGTTTTCTTCAAGGATTTTAATGAAATATTATCATGCTATCCGAACTAGATATCAGGTGCTGTATATAAACTATATATGTAAATATTTAAAATGTGTGTGACCAGGCAAGTATAAAAACACATTTAACCCCCCAAAAAGTTACTGATCGCTTAATGGCTTAAATGTATTGTATTTTGAATTATGTTTTATCAGTGTGACAAGCTGAAATTGGCAGGCGAGGAGTCCCTGATCCTGACTGCCAATATTTCTGAGGACAAAGTAACCCACTTTGGTTCCAGTGTGGGTGTGCTGTATGGCAAGGATATTGCCAGTAATTTCCTAAAGTTCTGTAAGGGTACGTTATACATACCAGCTTCTGTATTTGATAAAACTTTTCAGCTATTAATCTGAAAATATAAAAATTAAGCAAAGACAGCAAGAGTGAAAACACACATTTTTTTTCCTCCAATTTATCACTTCTCAAATATGTAGAATTGCTATACAGATGTTATGTAGGGGAAAGGTGTGTTGATCTACGAATCAGCTATGGAAATAGATAAAAACGTTTTAATTTGTGGCAGTATTTTGTGAATTTATTGATTTCTAATTTGGTGACTTATATTTATTTGAATTGTAGATAATATCCATAGAAAAAATTTGGAAGAATAGTTGGAATACCTGTAAAAAATTAAGTGCTCAATAACTTACTGTTTTGTCAAAAATTGTGCTTGTAGAATGTAATTTGTGATGAAAGAAATCACAATGATATATAGCATTACTGTAAGTTACATGATCCCTAAGACTATATATATCTGAACCTTATGTAAAGCAATCTGATCAACGACAGTTCAGATGTGTTTCATTCAGAAATTTATTGCAAGAGATTTCCATTATTTAAATAGATTTGTTTTTATGATTCAGACAACTACAGTGTATCTGAAGTCCAAACAACAGCTGAACGTGTAACAAGAGCCAGTGTCAACCGTCCGACAACATCTCGACGACCTAGAAGGAAGAGAAAAGTCCCAGTTACATACCAGGACGATTATGAAGACAAAGATGATGATGATGACTATGCAGATACTTTAGATAATGTTGGAGGTGATGATGATGAAAGAGATGAAGATTATACTATAGATGTGACATCAAAACCCAGTGAAACAGAGAAGGAAGGGAAAACTAAAACGCCACTAAAGAAAATCAAACTCAAGTTATCGTCTGTGAAAGTGGAGAATGTAGAAGAAGTGGAGGGTTGTACAAGTGAGACAGCAGATGACAATGCCAAGAGTGTTGAAGATGGCGAAGGTATTTACTAATTTAATCAATGTTTTTACCGTTGATGTTCTAACAGATCTCTTTGTTATATGTATTGTAACTGTCTTTGTTGCAAACAATTTTAGGACCTTCCAAAACTAATTTATCAAAGAAAGAAAAACTCGGTCATTACTCGGTTATAACTACCAAAGGAAATGTCAGTATACATTTAGATATATGGTTTACATGGGTTATACAGAACATTATCAGAGACTTTAACATTAATGGTAAAGATATAACTTTACTTCATTACTGTGTCATACTCAAGGAATTTGAAAATAATTTCATAAATTCGTTTGAGGATTCAATTTTCCACTTAAATTATAAATTATGTTCAGTCATTTTCTTAGTAAGGAAAGCAAGGTCAGGTGAGGTGTATTAAGTCTTGAGTGAGTTTCATCACAATTTGAAGTTCAGGTTTAATGAATTTCATTAACGGTATGGGGGAAAATTAAACACCGGACAAAACATTTTAAAAATTAATGAAAGATGCTTTAGAGACACAATGAAATGAACAGTTCAGGAACTTGATATGAATTTCGAACTCCACAGACTGTCCATATACATTTGTATAATGGACTGGGTCATTGAGGATTTCAAATTCTTGTGGAATACAAATAAATTGCGACTGAGCAATTTGTAGATCTCACTATATACAAGGTAAAGTAATGATATACCATAATTAACATTTAGATTAAATTAATTGTGAAATTTTAACAGATTCCACTATGCTAATTATCTGGCCCCACTTGTATAAAACATCTCAACTTGAGATTTCCTCAAGTCGAGATTTTCCTCAGCTAATATCTCCTTGAAAATATCTTGTATGAAAATTCCACAAGGAATTTCAGGACATCCTAGCCGATGACTTCCTCCTGTTCCTTGAGAAAATTTTATACAAGCCGTTTTTGAGGAGATATCAGTTGAAAAGTTGAGATGTTTTATACAAGTGGTGCCTGATGTGCAATTTTGATCTGAGGTCCTTCAGGCAATTGTAAATTTCTCCTAAACATCGATAGGTATTGGGTAAAATACTAGAATGGATTTTTTTTTTCCTGTGACTTTAAGATGTGTCACTGTTTATTGCATTTAGCAAAATCGATTACATATCTAGAACATGTTATTTAATGAAAGACACTCAACAGCTGGACATTGCTTTCAACTGATCTTCTTGGTGTGTATGTTGTATGATATACATTTCTTATCAACATGTTTTCTGTCTTATCCCCAAATAGTAGCATGTACATTTGGAATTATACAATGAATAGGTGCTTTTCGAAGGGTACATTTACAATGTACAAGACTATGTACTGGCTGCTCCAGAAATTTCATATAAGTAGCCAAATGCTTTAGGGATGTTCATTGCCAGTATTCAAATGCTACAAAAATAGCATTACCCTTTTAATGATTAAACATCAATTTTAAAATGTTACAAAATGCATGTTGGATGCTTCATATAAACTAAAACCAGAAATGTATGGGAACATTTTGCCAAATTCATCGAGATATTTACAAGGTGTTGGGAAGACCGGGAAAGAATTTATCCAGAAGTAAAGCCAAAATCTGCTCAGGTGAGTTTAATCAAATTATAGTGCACTAGTTATCTCCCTTGAACTATAAATTTTAAATCTAGTAAAAAATTGTTCATATGCTGCATCCAAAATGATTTTTTGTGAAATGAACATATTGTGTGCTGTTGAAATTTCCTGAAAATGAATTGTAGTTTTTTTCCTGGCAATAATCAGCAATGAACATCCTTTTTTAGAATAATATACAATATTTTTTGGAAAGAGAATACGTAGTTACAACATAGGTAGGCATGATCCTGAAATGATGGAAAATTGCTTCTTTACAACTTCCATATGATTCTGTTTAAGTAATGGCTATTCTAGTGTTTACTTTTTCTTTTCACAGATGAGAAAGCTGATGTAAACACAACTGAAAAGGCAGATGGAATTGCAGAACCAAGAGAAATGTTTAGTTGTCGTTACTGTTCATCAAGGTTTAAAACTATGGCAAAGTTACAAAAGCATCTGCCAACTCATTCAAGGTCCAGCAGAAAACATTCATGTTCACAGTGTGATAAAGAGTTCGCCACTATCAGCCAACTTCAAAGACATAAATCCTCACACTCAGAAGATAGACTTGTCCCGTGTGATCTTTGCGATAAAAAATTCAAATCAGTAGAGAGTGTCTCCAAGCATAAGAAATTTATGCATCAGAATACATCAAACAAAACAGAATCTCCTGAAAAACCAAAGTCTTTTGACTGTGATACATGTGAAGCATCATTTAAAACAAGGTTCAATTTACGCCGTCATATGATGGTTCATATGAACACTCGTCCGTTCTCATGTGAAATATGTGGTAAAAATTTTCGAGGGGCAGACAACCTTGCCAAACATCTTGTTCGACACAGTACAGATAAACCATACAAGTGTGAAGACTGTAACAAGCAATTTAAAAGTAAGGGTGGACTGAAAATACACCACATTGTGTTCCATGGTGACAAAGGTCTCAGTAAGATTGAAGGAGACAGCTTCAAATGTGCCATTTGTGGGAGAGTGTGTGGGTCCTACTATGCTTTAAAAAGCCACATAGCCTGTCACAAGAATGATGAAAAAGTTCTTAGCAAGTCTGGGAAGCTTGTTGAAATGAACGTTGGATCTGCAGATATGGAAGACTCCACAGAAGATGTGTCATCTGGGATGGATTTAGATTCCTCGATGGATGTGACAAATTTGGATGGAAAGCTAGTAATTGAGACAGGCAATAACGATGAAGACGGACAGAATTTGAGGACAAGAGCCAAGAAAAATCTGCTGAGTTGTGATCAGTGTGATAAACAGTTCACCTGTAATAGGGACTTCAAGAACCATATGAGGAACCATGCAGGCCAGCGAGTCAGTCATGCCTGTGATTTGTGTGGAAAGGAGTATCTGAACATCACTGCACTCTACCGGCATCGAAAGCTGCATGACAAGGACGGTACGTACACATGTAAAGCATGTGGGTTAAGATATAACAGTATGGAAAGTCTGTGGAGGCACGCCAAGACACATCTAGAGGACAAGCCATTTAAATGTAGTGTCTGTCACAAAGGTTTCATTGAACGACGAAACCGTGATTCTCACTATCTGACGCACACAAAGGAGAAACCATTCATATGTGACCAGTGTGGGAAGGCTTTTAGGACGCAACAACAAATGAAGAACCACCAGGGTATCCATACTGGGGAGAGACCATTCAAGTGTAATACATGCGGTTTAACGTTCAGGTTAAGAGACACGCTCCGAAATCATAAATTAGTCCATAGTGATTTCAAGAAGTTTATGTGTCATACATGTGGCAAAAGGTTTCATCGCCCTGCACACTTACGGAATCATCAGTCTGTTCACATGGATGTCCCTGAACATGTCTGTCAACACTGTGGCAAGGCATTTAAAATGGCAACATCTCTCAAGACCCACATGGTGGCTCACCACATGACAGCTGAGGAGTTGGCACATTGTAATTTTAAGACACACAAGTGTGAGTATTGTGGTAAAATATTCAGAGAGCGCCAGGATCATGACCGACATTTGCGGATGCATACAGGTGAGAAGCCATATGCTTGCGAGTTGTGTGGAAAGGCATTTTCTGACAGCAGTAATTTACGTACGCATGTACGTAACCACAAGGGTGATAAGTCAAAAGCATGTCATATCTGCCACAAATCATTTATGTTTAACAAGGACCTTCGGAAACACATGCTCACACACTCCGACAACGAACCGCAGCCTATGTACCAGGACATGAGTGAAAGGATACATAACCCCAGTATCCAGAATCAGATGGTCGTCCAGGAAACAATGGTTGCTCCACCCATGTCTCAGCCAATCATGCAACCACATCAGCAGCCGCTTTCCCAGCCACACCCACAGCCCCTCCCCCAGCCACACCCACAACAACAAGCCATGTCTGTCTCTGATCAGGAAGCATTAAACACAGCATATGCTGCTCTCAGCTTCCCCCAGCATCTGCAGCCATTACCGCCTGTAGCGGTGACGCACATGGAATCAATTATGCCATCATCAACATCACACCCTGTCACTCACCAGACATGGATGACAATGTAATTAGATTGTAAAATATTTTGTATCTGTATGTGTACACATGTAATGATGGATAAATTAAATGTACAAACATGGTAGATAGAATTAAATTATCTATATGTAGAGGTCAGTTTACAGAATTGTTTTGAATGTGTGAATTATCTACAGATAATAGCATAAAGTTTAGTATTAGAAATGGTATCATATAAAAATAGTTCATTAAGTTGAGCTTTGATAGCCATATATTCAGTCATGTTATTAATTTTCATGGGAAAGGTAATAAAATGGATCAACTTAATTATTGTTATTTTTACAGATGAATCAGGCATTGCCTCTCAGTAGAGAGCTTTGTTGGACATATAATATATATAATTAAGTAACAAAATAGGCAGGACTTGGAAATAACTAACTACCAGTTTCCTCATTAAATGAAGTTCACAGTAACAGATTGTTTTGGTCTGACTGCTGTATACAGAAATGTATATATAGATACATATTTAAATTATGGTAAAAGCATATTACAGTTTCATTTTGTTCAATCAGAACTTTTTAACACAATTTGTATTTAACAATTTTTATGAATGTGTATATATTTATTATAAATACACACTGTCGTACATGCGTAATGTATGTGTTGCCAATTAAAAATCTAGTCTATTTATTAATAGTTGCTTTATAATATGCAATAAACGTTTTATTACTTCATGATTCTCTGAAATAGAGACTGAATATTTGTAGTTACATGACAGTTATTGCTATTATGGACACGAAGTCTCATATATATACATGTATACAGAATACCACATTTGTACCTGTCAAATGTAAGATTAATTGTTATAAAAAGCCTTGTCTGGATTTGATTAGTAATCAATGGTAAAATCATATCTGCTTTATATTTGATTGAAGAGAAAATTTTTGCAAATTGTCAATGTGAAATCAGAACATATTAAATATTTGATATTATTTTCTAGTTCTTGTTAGAGCAGTTTTTTTTATTGTTCACTAAAGCATTCTTGATTTGATGCTCTCATGGTTCTTTTAAGTACCATACAATATTGTAAATTAGAAAGGAATTCAATACATTATCAGAATGTTTTTTTTTTAAAAATAATTATAATGATATTTGTATGCATGCTTCTGTTCAATTTATATGTTGTGGTAAGAAAATTCCCAAAAACTTTAGATAATGCTACACTTTGTGTTTTTATCTTTAGAAATGAAACATGATAAGTTTTTCCCGTTTTGGTTTTATTTTTATTATGTTAACTGGATAAATCTCTTGAATTTTTCCCACTGCTGATATTTGTGGATATTTGTCCTTCATGCAGTACATAATATTAGCCTTGCTTAGGTGTGATTACAAAACAGTTTTAATTGTAGATACTTGCAATTCTTAATAATTATTTTTTTTAAGTCACAGAATTTCATTTCTTACTTGAAAACTAAATTTGTTATGAATATTTTACAACATTGTATTTAGTAATATCACACAAAGTTTGGTAGTTTATACATAAAAAAGCTTTAAGCAACCTTTGGTTGAATTCAAAAGTATAGAATTGAAAATCCTGTGATATCAAAGTTTTCTTTATTTTTTTTTTAATTGGAGGTCAGATAGACCAATTCTTCACTGATTATTTCCATTGTTTACATGACAGAGTAAGGGGATACCAAAGTGAATTATCATTTGTGGCCCTTTAAACACTTATATCTCCCACTGCTTAATGACTTTATTATAGTGTAATTGACAAAATGCCATCTTTTTATTCTTTAAACTGGTGCATGATGGGAAGTGCGTTGTGGAGGTTATTTTTAGTACATTTTTACAAGCTGATATAAATTGTGTTTACAAAGTTGTTTTACTACTCCAGAAACATTTACATTATTTTTATTGTTTTAAACATGAGCATCCTCTTAGGACTTCTTATTCAGATGATTTACATACAAGTTCATTTTATGAAATGTAGATTATTACAAATAGCTAACAAGTTAGTCAATGCTGTTCTTGCAATATTTCCGATTCTTAATTACATTCTGTAATCAGGATAGAGATTTTAATGTACTTCATGCTTGTGTAGTGTATATGCCTGTGCCATTAAGAATTTATCACACTGATACTACATATAATAATTTATTGGGTTACGGTCAATCAGTTAGGGTTTTTCTAGGGATTATAAATAAATATTGTCTTAATTTGGTTCCAGGAGAAGATTTAGCTGTGATCAGGAAAGTAATGTCCCCACCCCGTTTTAGTTAACTGCTTTTTTGTTCAGAATTACAGATTTATACACATGAATAAGGCTATGACTTGACCACATGTACATGTGGACATGATTGAGGTTTTTTTTATTAAATATGGTAAGTTAACTGAAAATAAATCATTTGATAACATCCAGATGCTTAGTTTTAAAAGTGAAAAAATAACAACTTACATATTTGCCTTAAGGATACTACACAAGTTGTTAACTTTCCATTTTGTAATTTTTAAAAGATCATCTGTGTGTTATGAATGGTTTATTCCCCTTTAACTGATGGTATTTAATGAAACTGAACTGAAATTGGAATCCACACCAAAACACACTAATGACTACAAAACTTTTATATATTGGAAACCAGTAATTAAAAAAACTCTTTAAGGTTAGGTTTCCCTTGGTATATGTTTTAGTGTAAATGCATTTTAACAATAACTTTCAACCGAACATTCTTTGATAACACATGATGATCAATCTCAAACCAATCTATTGTTAATTTCTTTAAAAAAAGGTCTCATAATTTCACTTTAAATATAATGCTTGGTCCTGATGTTTTATGTAAGAACTTGGTTTAACGGGATACTGTGTTCCATACTTCCTACATCACTATATTAACATTCATCTTGCTACCGGAACTGAAAATACTTTTATTCTGTTAAAAAGATGATTGATGTATTAATTAATGTTGATATGATTTATCTGGAATACTGAGAATATTTATGTATTGTATTGCCTTCTGGTGCATATGACCTGCATATAATATGTTTATTCACTCGCACATAATAATAAATTAGAGGTCGTGAATATTTGATGACATTTATGAGATGTCTTGCTTACTTATTCTAGTAAAAAGCTAAATGAAAGCTATATATACATTGGCTGGAAATGCTGATGAAATGGTTTCCTATTGTGTCCGGTGTTCATTATTTTCATTTTTACAATTGCATATAGATACACATAATTTGATGCAGATCATTTTTAAATAGATACATCAAAGGAAAGACAACACTGTAATTGCTGACTGTTTTATTTGTATTAAAAATAAATGCATGCACTCATTTTCTTTGTCTGTTATTTTCTTAATATCTAGGCAGGAAGTCAATTCTGGATGTCAACTGAAGTACACTTTTGTTATAGTACATCTGTTACTTTAAGTTCACAGGCCTTATATAGGTGTTGCTTCTCTTAATTAAAAGATTTTCATTCTGTTATTTAACTTTAACTTTTAAAAAAGTTAATCAGCATCTGTATTGATAATTATTCTATTGATTAATATTTACAGAGGAACTAAACCTGGGAAATAGTCACTGAGAGACAAAATGGGAAAATTAACAGCTTGTAGAAATAAAATACTTTACAATACCCAGTGTACCTGAATTTTTATAATCATGGAAAAAGCTAGGCTTACCATTTAACATGTAAATTAAGAGTGACATAAGATCAATCATTATTACTGGATTGAATTTTTAGCCTATCACCATCAGATGGTGGGCTATTCATATCACTCTGCACCTGTGGTCCATCTGTCCATTAGTAAACAATTTTTGTTATGCTATTCTTGAAAAGTAAGAGATGGACCTCTCTCAAATTTCAGATGTAGGTTCCCGTTGGTCTCTAGTTGTGTCCATGTAATTTTGGGACTGATCAGAAAACAATAAGGACTACAGGTGGCCGTCTTGGATTTTGACTTTGCAGGTTTCAAATTCAAATTTCTTATCATTATGAGCAAAAACAGAAAAGAAGGGAAAATACAAGTTTTAAAGAGCAATTAAAGATCAAACAATGATGGGAGCGAATATCCCTCTAGGATTTCTTAATTTGAACTAACATTCTTCTGGAGGTTTATTTCATTAATTACAAATACATATTTAGATTAGTTCTAAATTCAAGAGTGGATAATGACATGTGTCCAACAGATTGAGTTTATTGTATTGAAAACCTTTTCTCTTGTATATCATTGACAAAAATATCAACATCGAAAGTATAAATTTAAATATATAACAGGAAATAATGCTTTTAACTACTACTGAGATACTTCATCAGATCTATTAATATACATGTAACTAAATAGAGTGTATTTCATAGATATTTAATTGGTTAGGTTGGTCAGCTTATGGGGCTACTGTTGTGAGATATAGCAGGCACAAAAATGAAAAAAGATGAAACATCTAAATCATGAAATTCAATTTGCCTGTGTTTCATTGTGTACTGTAGTTAATTGGACAACTGTTGAGAAATGTGAATAAAACCTCTGATTTGTGAGTTTTATAAACCTTGTATTCATATTTAAGAACCGACTGCAGATATTTGTTGTCATTTAATTCTGTCGCGGTTATTGAGTGAGCTGTGTTGAATTATAGAAATGAGAAATGAATGATATTTTGTTAAAAGTCTTTACATTTTAGAAACAATAGACTCTTACATGAGTATATTTATCTTTGAACAGACCCATGCTTGATTTCTTTTTCACTTTGTTAGAAAGTAATAATTTGCAAGATGTGAAACCTATTATAGCGCCATCATGTATGGCCCATACATGTGCGTCGAAATTGATGACGTTATAATTGGCGACATGGCAACGCTAAACGGCCTATTGCGAAATAGGTCATAGCCAGCTGCCTTTTCATACCCTATGCGAGTTGTCCCTACCCATCTTAAAAACACATATATTGATAAATGCTTCTTCATTTTCCAGGAGAGAATTCCTCGGGATTTCGACGTGATACACGCTCCACTTCAAAGGGGGACAATTCTCACAGATGTCCGCACTGTCAGGTCATTTTTGAGAGTTATGTGACTCTAGTTCGTCATGTTAAAGAACACGCTACAAAGACTAACCATCCATGTGTACGTTGCAAGAAAAGTTTCACTCGAAAAAGCGAACTTGACAGACATATGGCATCGCATTCAAAAGAAAAGGGGATCAATTGTGACATTTGTGCCCAGAAATTCAAAACTAGAGACGGAATGATTCGGCATAAAAAGAGAGTACATAAAATAAATATGGCAAAGAAAATCGTGTCTGCTCCGGTTGGAAAGATTTTGAATGTGAATAAAGGCGGTAAAAAATACGGATGTGAATCATGTGACGCCGCCTTTAAAACGAGATTTAACTTGAAACGTCACATGTTGACACACACTGACGAGCGTCCGTACAAATGTGACATTTGTAGTAGAGCATTCCGTGATTCAGATAACCTTGCCAAACATGTAATGCGACACACAAACGAAAAGCCGTATAAGTGCGACCTATGCATGAAGTCGTTTAAAAGTAAGGGCGGACTGAAAATCCACGGCATCATTTTCCACGGAGACAAAGGACCCGGAAAAGGTAGTTTGGAATCGTTCTACTGCAGTATATGTGGAAGAACATGTGGGTCATATTACGCTTTAAAGAGTCACGAGAACTGTCACAAAAATGACGTAAAGATTTTGAATAAGAGTAGAGAGCTAGTCGCCACTGAAGGGGAACACGAGGATAACCAAGAATCTGTTCGATTGGTCGAAAAGGAAGAACCTCCTTTTGACCCAGTCCAGACGCAACCGAAGGCTGGAAGGCCCTGGTACACATGTGAGCGGTGCGGAAAGCAGTTCACAGCTTTACGGAATTATCGAATACATGTGAAGAACCACGACAATCACAGAGAGAGTCACGCCTGTGAAATGTGCGGCAAAGAATACCTTAGTCCCGTGGCACTCTATCGCCACAGAAAGTTACACGACCGTAAAGGCACATACATCTGTAAGACGTGCGGACAAAGGTACAACACAATGGAGAGTCTCAGGCGACACGCCAAGATACACCTCCCAGAGAAACCTTATAAGTGTGACATATGCCACAAGGGGTTTCTCGAACGGCGGAATCGGGACTCGCATTATCTTACTCACACAAACGAGAAACCGTATATTTGTGACCAATGCGGTAAGGCCTTCCGCACACAAAAACAGCTGACCAACCATGCCGGTGTCCATACGGGTGAAAAACCGTACAAATGTAATATCTGCAATGCCACTTTCCGTCTCAAAGATACGCTTAGGAATCATAAAATCATCCATAGCACTTTCAAAAAGTTCATGTGTCATACATGCGGAAAAAGATTTCACCGTCCTGTTCATCTTCGCAATCACCAATCTGTTCATGCAGATCATCCAGAACATATGTGTAAACATTGTGGAAAAGGATTCAAGATGGAGTCTTCCCTAAAAACACATATGGTCGCCCAGCACATGAGCGCAGAGGAACTGGCCTCGTGTACATTCAAAACGCATAAGTGTGAATATTGCGGCAAAGTGTTTCGTGAGCGCCACAACCACGATCGTCACATACGTATTCACACAGGAGAGAAACCGTACTCGTGTGAGATCTGTGGAAAGTCGTTTGCCGACAGCAGTAATCTTCGCACGCATGTTCGGAACCACAAGGGAGATAAATCTAAGGCGTGTCACATCTGTGAAAAATCGTTCATGTTCTCAAAAGACTTAAAAAAGCACATGATGACACATACTACTTCATCTTCCAAGCATACTCATTACCCCAATCCCGATGTTGATGTAGACACTACCAATCACACTGTAACTGTACATGTGCCAGCTCCCGACTCTATGGTACTCAACCATACACAGATCCAGCAAGTCCCGCCACATCAGCATTCCGTTCAGTCACAGGCAGGTCTTCCCTCTCCACATTCAATACAGATTGTTGAGCCACATCCGGTTTCTCTTACAGCAGTACACCTTGTGCCTCAGACAACGCAACATTCAACCAGTCTATCAGTCCCCCATGCTGTGCCTCATTCTGCTGCTATGAAAATCCCACTTGCGCAGACCTTGCCTTTATCAGCTGTGTACACCGTGCCGAATACATCTCACTCATCCCACCAGACACACTCACCCGGCTCTGCGTTGTCTCCAATCCCCATGCACACGCAGCATCTGCCGCATCCACCTCCACCTCCCCACCCCACGCCACACTCTTTACCACCTCCTACGTCACACGAACAGGAGGTTTACAATGCCGCCTACGCTTTGAACTTCGCTCAGCATATAGCACCTCTTCCGCCTGTCTCTGTCCCTGCAATGGAGTCTATGTTACACAACTCCTCCATGGCCAGTCAGCACCAGACGTGGCACAATATGTAAATCTCAGGGGTCGTATTCAACAATGTGCTATTTTCCGGGAGAATAAGTAATGGTTACTTCATAAGTAAGGAAGAGTAGAACAACGCCATAAAACAAAGTTCAATAAGGAAGTCTGTTACAACTAACGTTTGTCGTTCGTTTAGGTTAGGTAATGTCAAACCAATTTAAATGGGTAGCTAAAATAAGACTAGTAATTTCCACACCCCTTACGTTACCTTATGCTTCAACTTATGATAAAAGAGCGCAACTTGCACATCTGATGTTCAGAACTGGCAAACTTTGGAGTTTGCCAAGGTCGATAAAGCTTAGTCTTCCCTGTGAATATAAATTACGCACGAAAACCCTGTAGTAGTGAATACGATAACTAGGTTTAACGCCATTTTTTTCTTACGTCTATGCTTTGTATGAAGATGTCCATTCGGTTACGTCCATGCTTTGTGGGGAGATGTTAATTCTGTGTCAAGGCTCGGTAATGTGTTTAGCGGGAACCAGTCTTACTTTTTATTTCTATTTTGCCTCCCTTGTGTCTTTGAATTACTAAATTACTAAGGAAGACATCGGGATACAGCTGATTCCCAACCACCGTAGTTACCGGTGACATGTCTAAACTTTTGTAGACAATCCAGAGATAATATTCTTAGTGATTGTCTGGGTTGTTATGAACACACATATATAATATATACTATAGATGTCTTGTTGACCATCTAATTGCATTGTTGAAATGCATTTTTGAATTATGATTAATGCATAGTTTTCTCAAGTATATCTTACTAATGAATGGGTTTTAAAGCATGCTAGTCCTTCTTAGGCTTACTTAGTTGGTAGTCTTATGTTGTCTCCTTCGGTATCTAATATTCTTATTTGATTTTTGAGGGGTTTTTTAATGTGTGGCATATCTTTTATTGATTTGATTTTGTCCTTGCTATGTTATGAAAATCAAGTCAACACAGGCCCTCTTTCTAGTCCCTACATATACATAACATGGTTACAACAAATCCTCATCAATAACACGAGATAAGCATCATACCGGATTGTTTTATCTGACCTAAGAATATTGCAATAACAATACATTTCCTGAAAAACATATTCAAATTGTAACTGATCGAGTACATGAATGGAATTCCTGTTTTGATGTCAGGAAGAAAATATCTAGTACACTAACTTAAGTAGATGAGGTTTATTGCTAAGGGAGATAATTGTAATGTTTAAGGCATTAGGATTGTATATCCCCAAGGAAGTTCACATTTAAATCGTAATATAATCTCTTTCATTATGTTTCTCTTCGTTATGGCTGGGCCATAAACAGCAATTGGAATAATATATATATATAAATACAGAGACCTGTGTTCATGTCAAGTCAGTTGTAAAATACTGTTCATGCAATGAAATTGGTTACTTGATGATCAATATGTTAAATTGTTTTGTTAAATTTAGTACCTAACGAGTCATTTTAACATTTCCTGTGATAACTCATTTACTTTCATTAGATGATTCGAAATGTGTGCTTTATTTTAATTAGAATTTGACATTATTGACGTACAATTGTTAAGGTATGTACGCTTTTGAACAATGTATTCAGTGATTGTTCATTGAAATCTTTTGCATTTTTCTACACATCGTCTTTGCGGTACAAGGTACATTTACTTTTCAATTTAAACGCGAATACGAACACATTTGCTTCCATTGTTTCATAGTTATACAATTTTCTTGTACGTTTACAATTTCCTTTTATCTTCCACACGAAGCTTGAACGACATTGGACACAGATCTTTCAGCATTACTATTTGTCTCTTAGGGTTTACATGTCATTTCGTTCAAGCATTTTCGTGACTTGTGAGTGCGATTTTAAGTGTGTGACAGTGAATATATAGTTATCATACCAACATCCATTATAGCTATCTACCCGTAAACGTTTTGGATTATGTATTGTCTGACATCATTAACTTGCTTCAGTAACGACTTTGTTTAATTATACAGTAGCTTATTAAATGCCCTATGATGTCATCACCATAGTAACGAATGCTTTCGTGATAAGCGAACTTTGGCTCTTGTTTGTTTGAAACAATTCTGACGTGCTATCATTTTTTGAATATGCATGCAGGTTTAGTTTTAAAAATACTTATAATTTACTGTCGTTGTTTGTCATTTCAAATTAGTAAGGAGTTTATACCGAATTAAGATACCCCTTTCACTTGATAACCAATATTGAATTTTAATTTCATATTTACGTTTGGACTTTGGGTTTATCAACACGAGAGCGGAATTATAGAGTAGTTAAAACATGTGCTTATGCCCATAAAATTTTACGCCATTGTAAGTTTGTTCATGCATGGTCACCTTAAGAACTATACTAATACAACACTGGCATGGGATACCTTTCCGAAGGTCCCCATGTTACTTAAGGTCTTTACCCGTTCCTAGAAATAAATGTGATATAGGGTGGTTTGAAAATACTATTTTCTAATGCTCATCGTTTCTGACCTCTGGGACCAATTGACGTCAAAAATAAAAGGGAAACGTTTGGGTATTCTATTGTCAAGAACGGTACACAAACCACACAATTATTTTGTATTTACTTAATATGCATGCCGAGCTGTGTATTTAGTTACATGTATATCCATGATAGTCGTTCTCATTTGGATTTTACTCAAAACGCTTATTTTGTGACGTTCTATATGATATTAACACAATATTTGTCAATGTACGAATATTGTTTTTTGATTTTTGAGACATCCACTGCTGAAGTGTTCCATCATGACAAACCGCGTGCTTCATTCATATATTATTAGATTTGAATTGTCCTCTGGACGTAGTAACCAGTAACTTGTATCTTTGTTTACAACCTATATGTGATGCATTGTTTTGATATACATAATATTAAAAATTATCAGCTTTGATAATAAACCATGATTGAGAAATAGTTCTGTTTTTGTTTTTCTATTATCTTTTAAAGTCACTAGCACGTTTTTTTTTTTTTTTTTTTTTTTTTTGTCTTTTCATGTATTGATCAAACCTCCAGACAACGATAACGATGTCTAAGGTACATTTCCTGTAAAATTTAACAATAAACCACAGGATTCCATTTTTGTGCATGTAAAAGCAATTAACCTGTATTCCGTCCTCGATGCTTCTGAGGTTACTATCACTTTCTCTCTCTGCATCCCTTAAACAGTTCATGGCCAATTGGAAGGTTCTCTATGCGATATCTTGTGGACAAGACGAAAAGGCCAGTATACATCAAAACAATCTCGAGGTCGCAAAACGGTATATAAGAATGGCATTCAAGTTGGGTGTAGCTCCATTGCAATCTTCGAAGGATCTTATCAGTCTGTGATTTTCAGTTTTCCTCACCTGGAACCCGCTGTAGACCAATCAAATTACTTGTGCCTTCAATTTTGCCGTGACATGTTCTGGGGTACAGAAAACGATAGTGAACGTAACTCCTGTAGTATCGAAGATGACTATATTTTTGACATCTGACTCCTTCTCTGTGGCATATCTCTCACATTAGTGGCTTCAAGCATTAGGTATGGATACATTTACATCTGTAAGTTTTGTATTGCGTACTAGAAGTTTATATACATATATTTATAAAGGGTACAGAGTCCAATATTTTGTGATGACATTATCAAGACGATTTGATTTCCAACGTTTATTTCCATTTTTGTTTTGCTAGTGTTAATTCATTACTGGACAAAGGTACAGTCGCTTATAAAGGAGTGTTATTGGAGTTGATACTAATGTTATTGTCACGAGTAAACACACTATACATAAGGCTAAGATCGCACATTGTTTATATTCCACGAGTTGGCTTGTTTATATCATTACACATGAAATGATACATATTTATCACATTTCATGACTTTATCAGAAAGTAGAATGTTATTTGTTCCAATATTGAGCAGGTCGCAGCAACCAAAACGAATAGTCAGCTTTATTGAAATAATTATAGTTTTTTTCAATCTCGTTATCGATGTTAATGATTGTGATTGACATTAATAATAGCGATATTTAAAAAGATAGCTGTTTTTACATAACATTTGTTGAGCTGTACAATTAGAAGATGTTCTTAATTATTAAATTATAAACAGTTAAGTAATTGATATGTGACAATTAGGATTGCATATTGCTCTTTTCTTGTCAGAATATACTAAACCCTGATCAACTTTGTCATTTTACTCTGGACAGACTGACAAACAATTTGACTCTTGCCTCTTCCTACTCAACCCTTCGTTCGCAGTTAGTCAACCTTTAAACTTTTGGGAAGTTCGGCATTAGACCACCCTTAACTAGGAAAACGTCCCGGTTATCAAAATAGATATACCCCCTTATAGAATGTTTACTATATCTTGAGTAATGAGACTTATTGTTTGATTGACCCAGGATTTACAATGTAAGTTCATTACTCTCATGAATATAATTGTGTGGCCTTTTTTATGATTGTAATACAGAGTGTATATCGGAAAAAATGAAATGAATGAAAAAACACGTGTTCCTCGTTTAACTTACCTTCAGATAAATACACAGTTCTATTAAGTAAAGGTAACACCTACTGGTGTATATAACTATGAACGATATATATATATTTGTCCTGTCTCTCATACACAAACCGTGATCGCGCCAATACAACGGCAGTTTTATAAACTGTCACACCTTTGTACGATAAACCGGTGTGTCAATATACGAGTGTTACCAATGTATATAAACTACTCCATCAAATAACCTTAAATCTTAAACATGTTTTAATGAACACGTGCCCACCATTGTCCATTATGAATCATATCATTACGACACATATACTGTTCCATGGAACAAGTTTTCCAATGTGAAGCTATGCTAAACAGTTCTTGTAGTCATGTTTTTTTTGTTTTGTACTGGGATATCAATATATGATACTAGATATGCTCCTTTATACTTTGTGAATTTCTTATTTGATTGTATTAGATAACACTACATATTATGTCTGGTGTCGGAATATGGGTCTGTCGTTTCTTTCTTTTTCTGTCTTTATTTAGGCTTTATAAGTAATTTTTTATTCCTCATTCTGCAAACAAATTGCATTGTTGAAACAAGTTTTAAATAGACAGTCGTTGAGATTAAGCAAATATCTTGAGAACCCTTACTGCGCTATAAACATCTACCCTACTGCCCAGGAGTGGTATAAAATGAACATTTACATACGCGTTTAACATAATAATGACATATTATACCTGGTCAAGTATGTACATATATTAGATTTGGACCATATGACATGATAACATATATATATGATAGTGCTGGTATTTAAACAGACGGCACTGTTGACAACTTACTTCTTCTGATGAATGTCGTTCTGTTATTTTTCGCCAATACATGATGTCCACATCTTTTAATAATAGTTTTGACGTTTATGTTTAATGTGTCTTAGTCTCCATTTGTGATGTGCAAAATAATATATTTTAAAATAAAATATAAAATCATAAGATTGTACATAATTAATACACAATATGTATCCCTAGCAGTTTCGTTGGTATCAATTCAACAAAGGTTATACAAAATAACACAAGTGAATAACACTATTTCTTGAAAAATTTAGGGAAGATACAGGATAGCCAAACAATAAATTAAACTGCATCATACAGCAGTGTTTTTCTTCTAGGATTCGTCATTAATGCTAAGGGCCATTTTTTAAACCTAGGAGACGACCGAGGAAAATCTAAATTGATCGAAAGAAATGTCAAAATACAGATTGAGAGGTGCTCAAGCCCCATAAGTCCATACACTTCATGTATCTGTTTATGTATATATTTTGAACTGTGCTGTCATTCGAATGAATGAAAATGTGTTTCATACAATATTCTATTTCTCTTGCTAATCTTTGTGTAATGCATCGTTTCAACATTACTGGGAAACTCTCAGCTGTATTGTGTTACACGATTTAACATAGGGTTTTGAAAAAAATTGCTGCTACTATGCATATGTATCACAAAATCACGCAAATTGATCACAAACATTTTCCTGTTTGGAAGTTATCAGATTGAATTTAAAACAATAATTAAATATTCGAAAACCTGTGTATGAATAAAAAAAAAAAACATAACAAAAACAAAATACGGCATAGCAGCATCGATTTCAATTTATCAACCGAATGAGGTTGTATAAACCTAGACAAATGTTCATTATATGCTTTTTGCGAAACAATTGTAATTGACTGCTAAATTCCAATAGTTGGTGATAAATGGATTTCTGTTGATTCCTGGTAGGTTGTATTAGAAATCCTGATATTTCCGGCAGGCAAGCTTGACGCCATGCCAACAGAATCGACCCGGAGTCCGTTCTCAGGTAATCCTGAGTCTGTCTTCCGCTCACATAGGTATGATTCAAACAATATCCGCAAGCCGACCTTAATTATGAGTTGTTTTTCACTGATATTAACCAGGGTAGGAAAATACATGTTATAACCAAGAAATTCCGTTATCCACACTAACATTAGTGTCAAAAACACGACGTGTGTTAGGCAGGGATTTTATTAAATTCTAATACGTATCAAATGGTATGACAAGCT